ATTTGAGTTACTGCAAAGACCTTTCAAGGAAAATCTGTTCATTCAGCGTCCATATTTACAATGCCTCTCGGCAGATATTATGGGCATCCATAAAGTTCTATATAAGGCCTCATTTACACTGCAGGTCTTGATGCCCAACTCTGATTTGTTACCTATATCCAATTTTTTGGACTGTTCATTTACACGCTCTTACAATTGTGACCCATATCCGATTCATGTGTTTACACTTGACATACCATCTGAAACATTGTGCATGCTTAAAGAGTGTTCTTGCACACCACACTAGCCAAAATGGACAAATTTGAAATATGCTAGCTGAAATATGTTAGCTCTGCGATATATGCAAAGTTTGTCATTATATGTGTTGTTGTCATTTACTTCCTCCTGAGAATAATATCACATCATTAAACCACAGAGAAGTACCACATTGTTGCAGTTCTAATGACATACAGAACGCAATGTCTCAGAAAATCTGATATCTGTTTTTATGGGAACCAGAGCTTCTAATGGCAGCTGCAGTGACACAATGACTTTACCAATAAGTGATTAGCTCTTTCATTTAGAAGGCTGGGCATATTCTGCCATATTGCACACTGCAGTTTCTCCCATTCATAAGTAACAGGAGGGAACCATCTTTGTATATATTAAGTCTTTGGTTACTGTTGCCTTTCTATCAGTTTGAACCAATCAGGGCATTCTCCTCTGATCTCTGGAATCAACAAGGCATTTTCACCCGCATAACTGCCCCTTACTAGATATTTTCTGGATATGTTCATTCTCTGTAAACTCTAGAGATGGTTGTGCCTGACAACCCCAGTAGATCAGCAGTTTTTGAAATACTCAGACCAGCACATTTGGCACCAACAAACATGCCACAGTCAAAGTCACCTTACTTTCCCATTCTGGTGGTCAGATTGAACTTTAGCCGATGGTCTTGACCATAGCTGCATCCCATCTCAGAGGCTGCATCCTTAGAAGGCTGCATTCAAAGACCGATTGCGCCATCACGGCACAACAAAGGTTGTCTCAATGACTTTGCCCAGTTCCTATATCCTTCGTTTCTTAGTCAATGAAGGATACTCCACTGGCCAGGCTATCCTGAGGTTCTGTAACGGGGCTGACGAGACATGAGACGTTCGGATCCAAATGCAAAGCTTTAATTGGAGAAGACACAGACGTGGTCATAAAGCAGGCAGGGTCAATTAGAGGCAGACAGGTATATAGTGGGCAAAACACAAGAATAATCCTAGGGCTAGCGTGGGTCGATGAACTGCAGACAGAGTCACAGGGGCAAGGCTAAAGGGAGGAATCCAGGAAAACAGGCAAAGATCAAAACCGGAGAAAACAGACAAGGCTAAGGCTAAGGCTAAGGCAGGGAAACAAACGAGGGCTCTGTAGTGTCGCTATCGCTAGGGGAGTGATAATCGCTGAACAATACTCGGCAGAGGGAAGGGATCAGAGTGAGTGTCAAATAGTGAGGGAGTGATATGAAACAGCTGGGTGCAATCAGTGTAAACAGCTGTGTGCAATCCGTGCTGAGTGCAATCAGTGCAATGCATGATGGGAAATGTAGTCCGGGGTGATGTGCAACAGTGTGTAGTGCGAGAGTCAATGTAATTGGAAGTTCATGGACCGGATTCGTGACAGAGCCCCCCCCCAAGGAGCGGCTTCCAGACGCTCAAAAAACCTTTATGATTCCGGAGGGCGGAGGAGTGGAGGTGGAACAGGGGGAGGGATGGAGGGATGGAGGGCCACCTGGAAGTGGAGAGACCGGGCACTGAGGCAGGACTGGCGGAGCAGAGAACCAGGGCGGAACCGGCAGCTCAGGTGGAGCAGAAGACCACCACAGCAAAACAGACAGGACCGAAGATCCCCCTGG